TCTCTTCCTCTCTTTCCTCTCTTTCCTCTCTTTCCTCTCTTTTCTCTCGGCTTCAGGGATGCTAAAGCGAAGCAGGTGGAGCACAAGAAGGTGGCGGAAGAGGAGAGGAAGAAGAAGCAAGAGGAGGAGAAAAAGAGGAAGAAGCAGCAGGAGGAGGAGAAGAAGAAGAAAAGAAGGAAGAAGAGGCGAAGAAGAAGAAGCAGGAGGGGGAAGCATGGGCCAAGGCAAAGCAAGTAGCAGCAGGAGCAGCAGGGTCGCCGGGTGCTGCTGGGGAGGAGAAGAAGGGGAAGACGAGGAAGCGGGTGTTTCCGGGGGGCATGGAGGTGGAGGAGCTAGCCATGGGGAAGCCGATGGGAAAGTAGCCGAGCCTGGGAAGAAGGTGAGAGAGGGGAAGAAGGTGGGTAATAGGAGGAGGGTGATCTTTAGTCACGAAACAGCCAGCTTCCAGGGGTGTGAAGGCGGATTGGTTTTTTTTGTTTTGTTTTTTTTTTTGGTTTTTTTTTTTTTTTTGGTTTTTGTTTTTATCAAAACAAGTTTTCCAAGGGTAGGTAAGGGAATGGAGCCAGAGACAGAATCTGAGTGAAAAACAAACGAAAAAAAAAAATCACATCCCCCTGCCCCAACACCCTCCATCCCCCATCCCCCCACCCAGGTCACGATGCGCTACATTGGCCGCCTTCAGAAGTCTGGGAAGGTCTTTGACTCCAACCTCACTCACCCCCAACCGTTTGCCTTCCGCCTCGGTGAGCCTTTATTCTGAGGCTGTACCTTGAGAGTTTTTTTGTATGTTTGTTTGTTTTTTTCCTCCGTTTCCATGCTACCTTTCTATGCCCGTGCCCACTTCTCCCTTCTCATGCCTTGCTCTCTTCTCAATTCTTCTTCTTCCCTGCGCCTCTGAGTGCAGGTGTTGGAGAAGTGATCAAGGGCTGGGATATCGGCGTCAAAGGTGCGTGTGTGTGTGTGTGGGGGGGGGGGGAGGGGAGTGGTGGCGAAGGGGGAAGGAGAGGGCAGGGAAGAAAGGGGTGGGGATGCAATGGCATGGGTTACTCTGAAATTGGTGCATGCAAACAGCATGCAGTATTATCGTTTGTGCGGAGACTGTGCACGATCAAGGTTTACATAGCATTCCAGTACCTTGTGCGGTACCCATACCATGCGTCGTCCTTTTGCTCCCTCTTTAAGCACGTCTCAAGCTAGAATGGCCCTTGGGCCTCGAAACCCTCACTGGGAGTAGGCAGGATAGAGCCCCCCTTGGGATCTGTCTTTCATTGTCTTTCCACCCCTCTGTGTCTCCCTTTCCAATACGGCCCTCCCTCGCTCTTTCTCCTTGTCTCCCCTTGTCGCCCCTTGTCGCCCCTTGTCGCCCCTTGTCGCCCCTTGTCGCCCCTTGTCGCCCCTTGTCGCCCCTTGTCTCCCCTGTCTCCCCTTGTCTCTCCTCGTCTCCCCTTGTCTCGTCCTCTTTCGTCCTCTCTCTGGTCTTTCAGCTCGTTTGTTGTTCCTTTCTTATCGCTATTCCTCCTTCATTCCCTTTCGCACCATTTTCTGCAACTCTTCACCATCTCCTTCTCCCCCGTCCCCTTCCCTCCCCGTGTCTTAACCATCTCTATGTTTCCACCCCACAGGAATGCGAATCGGTGACAAGCGCCGTCTCACCATCCCACCTGCACTAGGGTAAGTGCCGTCATCGCCCCACCTATCCTCTGTGGGGTGTGCCTGCGTCAACAGATTGTGAATGGGGGGCACTCTACAGAATGTGTGCCCTCGTGGTTCTTACCATGCTCCAAGTTGCATTGACTGTTTTCAATGCTTTCTCCCCATCTGTTTGCACGGTAACCATCTGTCTATGTGCTGCGTTGTGAGAATTCTAAAAAATCGCCTACGCGCTGCTTCTGCATCTCTGTTTCCTTGCAGGTACGGCTTCAGAGGAGCCCGTCTCAAGATCCCAGGCGTTGCCATACACCTCACCTCGCCATGCACTGTACCTATCTGCTCAATGCTGCACCCCTGCTCTACCCCACTTTACCCACTCTCTCTCTCCCCCCACAGGTACGGCTTCAGAGGAGCCCCTCCGAAGATTCCAGGCAACGCAACCCTGGAATTCGATGTGGAGCTCATAGGTGTCAAGTAGAGGGTAACCATCTTCTGATCGGTGTGGTAACCATCACCCGAGTGGTTTGGTAACTGGCACCCATTTGTTGTGGTAACCATCACCAAATTGTTGCAGTAACTGTACGTGCATGTGGACTAGAGCATTTTTTGTTTAAATGGCAGACCATGTAGGTGATTGCAGAGGGCCAGGGGATACTCTCAAAACTGAATAATGGGTTAGAATAGGAGAGTACAAGGTAATATAAGCTAGGGAGTTGTACCCTAAGGCACAAACCTGTATAGTCTATAGTAACATACTAAGATAAGTTTGACACACCCCTCCTAGACTATATAGGGGCAGTGCCTAACACGAGAACAAACAGCTCAGGGCGGCGTTACTAGTCCAGCCTCTGAGGCAAGGGTCTAAAGACCAGTCAATAGGAGTACAGACAAAACAGGAGCAAGACCAGGGCTGCACTACTAGCCCAACCACTGGGAGAAGCCACAAGGCCAGTGTGGGTAATACATATATACAATGTCTGTACACAGTCAAGGTCCTAGCAAGTGCAAGGCAACAGGAACAAGACCAAGCTGTAAGCAGTGCCGCTGATGATCTTTAGGCGCAAGCGCCTTCGTAAAGATATCAGCTGTGTTGGCACCGGAGGCCAAGTGTACTACACGAGCCTGGCGACGCTGCTGCAGCTCGCGCAGGAGGAAGTACCGCAGATGGATGTGCTTCGCTCTGCCCTCAAGTCGAGGCTCCTGACACAGGAGTATCATGGCCATGTTGTCAGCGTACAGGACCGGGGCGGAGCTAGGCCGCTCACCTAAGTCAGTGAGCAAGAAGGTCAGCCAGCGGAGCTCCTGTGCCGCCATGGCACCGGCGTAGATCTCGGCCTCACAGCTGGACTGGGCAACAGACGAAGAGCGAGTAGCTCTCCATGAGACAGCACCTGAGGCAAGACTAAAGCAGTAGCCCTGTGAGGACCAAAGGGTTTCGACATCGTCTGCCCAAGAAGCGTCTGTGTGCCCAGTAAGAACCACTGACCTGTGTCCTCCGAGCACTAGCCCCAAGCTTGATGTACTCGCGAGATAATGCAAAACCCTCTTAGCTGCCAACCAGTGCTGAGGTCTGTGTCTGCCTGTGGCCACAAAGCGAGCCAGGATGCTGAGAGGGTATGCGAGATCTGGACGAGTGCTGGTCATCAGGTACATGAGGCAACCCACCAGCTTTGCGTAAGGACCACTAGGCTCTGCTGACTCCTCAGGAACTGGAGCAGAGAGCCTGTGATCTACTGGAAGAGGTGTGGGCTGTGCGGAAGAGAACTGAAAATCGAACCTCTGAAGGACCTGGCGCACCAAGTGTGACTGGGTGAGAGTGATGGTGTGCGCTGCTCTGTCTCTGGAGATTTGCAGGCCCAAATAGTGGCGCAGCTCTCCTAGGTCAGTGCAGGTGTGTTTCCTCAGCAGCTCAGCCTTCACAAAGGCCAGCGCGGTGGTGTCTGCAGTGGCAAAGACCAGATCGTCTACGTAAATAAGGATGTAGAACGGATTCTGGCCAGAGCGAACGAAGAGCGAGGGGTCTGCGGATGACAGAAAGAACTGCAGGTCTACAAGGGTAGCAAGCAGCGTGTCGTGCCACTCGCGGGGCGCCTGGCGCAAGCCGTAGACTGGGCGCCGCAGGAGCCACTGAGCCCCAAGAGGGAAGGTACCAGTGAAACCCTGAGGTCGGCGCAGGTAGACCTGCTCGTGTAGACTACCCTGAAGAAACGCAGTGGAGAAGTCGAGGGAGTGTAACTCGTAGTTACGCTGTGCTGCTACGTGTAGAAGTGCCCGAAGAGTAGTCATCTTCGGGGTCGGGGCGAAAGTCTGAAAGAAGTCCACCCCCTCACACTGACTAAAGCCTCTAGCCACGTAGCGCGCCTTGAACACTGGCGGCTCTCTAGGAGGGCGCTTCACCTTGAAGAGCCAGCGGCCATCGACTACGTTCACCCCAAGTGGGGGAACTGCGTCGACGTAGGTGCCGGTGGATCTCCAAGATGCCATCTCCTGCTCCATGGCAGCTATCCACTAAGAGGCCCAAGGTCCCGAGGTCGCCTCAGCGTAAGTACGAGGGGTCGGGATGTCGAAAGCGTCTAGGTTACCCTCAGGGACTAACAACATGAAACAGAGATGGGGAGCAGCCTCGAACAGGAAAGCAAGCTCGTACTGGTGGTCCTCCAGGACGTCATAGCCGAGGGCAGGAGCACCCCCGACAGACGGAGGACTGGCAAGGTCAGAGACCAGAGCGGTGGCGTAGTCAAGGCGGCGAGTAGAGGCTAAGTCAGTGACCGCAGCGACAAGAGGGTCAAGACGCGAGACCGGAACAGACGGGTCGGTAACGAGAGAGGCAAGGACCCAAGGAACAAGAGGACGAGCGGCGCGAAGGTAGTCAGACAGAGAGGGTGGCGCAACAACAAGGGAGGACGGAGGAGGCGACGGTAGGAGACGCGTAGGAACGAAGCAACATAGGGTGAGAGCGTGGGATAGGGGAGACGGGGCGAGCACGGGAGGGACGGTGAGACCAGACATGAGACAGAGGAGTCGGGTCAGGAGGCAGAGGAGGGGACACAGGAGGGATACGAGGGGGAAGACGAGCTGGAGTCGAGTCCGGGGGAGGGAACCCAGGGCTGTAGACAGAGAAAGGAGGAGACGACATGCGAGGCGTGGACGCAGGGTCAGGGGACGGAAGTCGGAGCACGCGAAGGGCTGACACCGGCGGGGACTGCTGCTGCGGCGGCACAACACGGACACCGGGACTGCAAGCTGCTCCATGGCTACCTCCGGAACACTCCACTCCAGCACCCCCAGAAGGAACACCCCCAGAGCCCGAAACCCCTCGAGCACCGGTACCACCCCCAGGCCCGCCGGGACAAGCCACGACAGGAACCCGAGGACGAGTACCCACCCCAACGCCAGCACCCCTAGGGTCAACGAACTGCTGCGGCAACGGCTGCAACGGCGGTGGCTGCAACGAGCGGCGGCGGCGACAGTGACGGCAGCTACGACAGCGGTGGCGACGACGGCTGCGGAGGCACCAGAGGAGGGGACACCTGCAGAGGGGCAGGCGGCAAGGACTGCGCCGCAGGACCACCAGAGACAGCAGACTCCTCGACCGGGACAACCGACGTGAGGGTAGTGACGTGGGACACACCAGAGGGGGCAGGACGGGGAGGGGGGGGGGAGGGGCAGGGGCCACTGGGGAAGGGGGGACCAGGAACAGGGGGGGAGTAACCGCGGAACCACGGTGTGGGAAACGATGGTAGAAGGAGACGGACTCGTTAAAGGTGACGTCGCGAGAGTGAAAGAAGCGGTGAGACGGCGGGTGGTAAAAGTGCCAGTCGGACGCGTCGAGGGGGAAACCAAGGAAGACACAGGGGACGGTGCGGGCACTGAGCTTGTCCGCGCCAGAGGCACGGACATGAGCAAGGCAGCCCCGGAAGTGGAACGCAGATGCGTCACCAGGAGACTCGGACCAAAGGAGGGTCGGCGAAACCTGCGGCTGCTGGGAGTTCAGCCACAGGTTAAGCTGATGAGCTGCGTAGCGAACGGCGAACGACCACACAAAATGGGGTGCACTGGCATGGATCATGGAGGTACGAGCCACCTCCATGACCAAACCGATGCGTCGCTCAGCGACCCCATTCTGCTGCGGGGAGTCCGGCAAGGTGAACGTCTGGGTGATGCCCTCCGCATGACAGAAACGACCAAGAATGCCGGAGGCAAACTCGCCGCCACCGTCGGAGTGGAGACGTAAGGCAGGGAGACCGTGGTGGACACGCGCAGAAACAAGCCATAGGATGAGAACGTCAGGCACGTCGGCTTTCCGCTCAAGGGGAAACACCGTGGTGTAGCGCGTGTAGTCGTCGACAAGCACTAGGAAGTAGCGCTCTCGACGCAGTCCATGGACGGGGGCGGGGCCCCAGACGTCCATGTGCAGAGTCTGTAGCGGTGCGGCGGTAGGGGGGAACGAGGAGGAGTGAGGGGCACGGCGGAGCCGACCCTCGACACAGGGCGTGCATGGTGGTGCTGGGGATGAGAGCAACTCGGGGAACGACCCTGGGAGATGTAGGACGAGACCGTGTTGTGACATGTGACGCAGACACGGGAGTACAGGGTGACCTAGACGGTGGTGCCGCAGGAGTGTCGGGTGAGTGAGCGACCGACAGGAGCAGGGAGCAACAGCCTGGGTAGACGCAGGCACCTGAGGGGACGTCCCAACCAGGGGGGTCGCGGTGTCCAGTGTGAACAGTCCGGACACCGGGTCCCGGGGGAACGTGGTGAGGGGAGCACCAGTGGCGGCCTTGGTACAGACGGCGTACCGCTCGTGACCAGGGAACGTAGTGGTGATGCCAAGGTCCTGGAGGCAGCCGACACCAACTAGGTTTCTGGAGAACAAGGGGATGTGCAGGCCTTTAAGAGAGCTCGAAGGAACCACCGGACAGGGAAGGGTGGTGGGACTGCGGGCGACTACCAGGCCGGAGGAGGGGTCAGCAAGAGAAACTGCAGCAGGAGCAGGATGCGACGTCAGCGTAGTGGAGTCGTGAAAGAAACACCGAGAAGTGCCAGAGTCCAAGATGAAGGAGAGCGCGGCAGTGGAGTCCGGAGTCGGAGCAGCGACGGAAGAACCAAGGCTAAACAAAGCAGGGGATCCTAAGCCTGACGCAGCATGGGAGGCGCGACTAGACACGCCTACACTAGGCAACAAGGGGTAGCAAGAAATAGTCACTCTAGAGTCATCAGCATACATCACATGCAGGGCAGCAACAATCTCATCCATGTCCATATCAAAGATCTGAACGCTATGTCAAAGCAAGCTGTGCCAGTCGGGGAGGTCGGGCGACGGGCCGAAGCGCTGACGAAACAGGTCGTCCTGGCGACGGAAACAGTGGACGGAGGTGTGACCGATCTTACCGCAAACGAAGCCACTACGAGGACTGGTCTGGAGCAGGTACTGACAGCGTCTGTCACCCGACCCGCCACCCGACAGCCCACTACGCGCACGACCACCACGTCCAGCGCCACCACCAGCGCCAGGCCACCCGGGCGGGAGACCACCCGGGCGGGAGACCACCCGCCCTCCTCTGCTGCTGCGGCTAGTGTGTGTACGGCTGCGACACCGGCGGCGGCGGAGACGGCTGCTCGGCTGCACTTGTCCGGGTCCCCTCGTCAACGCTACCACTAGGCGACCCGACTCCACCACCACCTTCACCCGCACCGCCACCCCTACCGCCGCGCCCAGCCTTGGGGTGGCACCCCTTCCCGGAACGGATCTGCGCTGCAGTTGCAGACT